CACTTCTGGCATTTAAATGGTTAATTGGAATAAGAGTCTCCTGGGCTTTCCTGCTTGGGCTGGCTTCACTTTCTTAACAGCTTCAGTCAATGTTCTCCAGGGTTCCAGACAACTTAGTTAGGTTCCAGTTTATTTTCCACCAGCTCATATCCTCTGTCATTGTGTTGACACAGGTAGGTAAACTGAGGGATGAGAAGTGGCTGTTCCAGAGCTCTTCCCTGCTTTCTGAAACATGTCAGTCCTGGCTCATGGGAACGGTGGGCTCTGCCACATCACAGGTCCTGAGCTGGCTTGGCAGGGCCATCTGTCAGACCCAGGTCATCTCTCCTGCCACCTGTGTATGAGGACCAGGATGGACGGCTCTATCCTGGGGAGAAGTTAGCAGACCCAACCCAGTAATGCAGAGCTGCAGAAGCAGATGGGCCCTTGGCCTCCATCAGGCCCACCCTAATTCCACTGCTTCTTAGCTCTGAGTGCTTTGAACTCAGCTCTAGCCATCCAGAGCCTGTTTCCTCATCAGTAGATGGTGGACTTAGGACCTCTGATGGTGGACTTGGGACCTCTGGAGAGTGAGACCATCCATCGAGGCACAGTGGAAGGTGAACAAAAGAAGTATATTTACACTATTAACACCAGAAAAGGGTCTTGAGACTACCTTGTCCTGGGCTAGATACCCACAACCAAGAGCAACCTGGACCACCAAACCTCCAAGCCTCCAATCGGCAGACCTGACAGCCCCCCCCTTTATTAGTTGGTCTGCAAACCACGCATTAGAAGGTCTGCAAACCTCCAAACCTCTGACCTCCCAAGGGGAAGGCTTTCCCTTTCTTCCCGCAGGCCTCTCCACAGGCCTGCCTGCTCTGCCCCAGGCGCCTCTCCACAGGCCTCTCTAGAGGAGGCCCCCAATGACCCCTCGAGGAGACGAGGCTTGCCCCGCCCTGCCCTGGCTGGGGACTCCCGGTCTCCCCCCAGGCCTCCCTCACCTCCCCCCAGGCCTCGGAGCCAGCCGCAGCCTATATATACCCAGAGAGACTGCGCCCCTCCCCCACTAAGGGTTTCAAACCGCCAAGCATGCTCCTCCCCCAAGCTGCCCCCTCTCCAATCCCCATAGGCAGCTCATCATGCGGGGCTCGACGCCCCACCCCCTCCAGTAGCAAGCCCCGCCCCCTTCAGCGCAACGCCCCGCCCCTTTCCCCGGCATGGCCCTCAGTGAGGCTTGCCGCTTGGTGCCCTGCCCCCTCCAGCAGGCCCGGGCACGGGGCCACGCTGACTCAGGCCCGGGCACGGGGCCACGCTGACTATTGGGCCCCGCCGGCTCAGCGCTGAGTCCAGCAGGGGGCGCTGTGGGACCTCAGGCCCCCTCCCCTCGCTGGAGGCCTCGTCCAGCGCTGGAACAAGTCCCGCCCATTTCCGGAGGCCCCGCCCCACGCAGGGCTCCGCCTCCGGTAGCCCCGCCCCGGCTCTGCGGGGCTCGGCTCTGCTCGGCCGCGCTCGGATCCACGCGGCCGCTCGGTCCTGGTCGTGGGCGCTCGGCCGGGTTC